TAAACCTAAGTTTGTTCAACCGCCTTGACTTGCCTACTTTAATTTTTAAAAAAGGCAAGCAGGCAAGCAGGCCTGCTTGGGTTTTTTTTATAAGCATTGCAGTTCAATTGGAATAGTTTTATCTTGTTAGCCGAAGAAACATGACGTGGGAAGAACATCACAACAGTCTATGTTTAAACGGTGATCAAGTGTTCAACTAACGTGTCCTCAACTTGACTGACTTTTACGAGTGTTCAGTTTRCTCTGTCAACAAAAAAGAAATTTGTGCTGCAAAAATAATAAGTATCACACTTTCTTCAATCCTTCTCTTCTCATTAGGCATCAGTGAAGTTGAAGAACATTTRTTCATCGTTGAAGACTTGTGACATTTTAAGAAAAGCACATTCTAATATTATGACAAGTGCCCGCCGTTATTTTCCTAATATTCCTAATTTTCAAKCAAGAATTGTTCCGCAGTATTAGCCTTTTAGTCATTTACTATTTATAAGCCAAGGCTAAGGCGTTTTGTTCACGTTGCTTAGCGACAAGAACAGACGTCATGTTGCCTTAGTAACAAGCAAGAATCAGTTCCAAGGCTATGCATAATATAATGATCATCAAGCAAATATTTTTTCAGATTGATCTAAACTGATCCAGTATATTATAGTTAATGACGATAGAGATAAGAATGTTGCTACTAGGTCACGTCGGGTTATATGATACGCCACCAGACACATTTTAATGTCGTACGCTCTACATGCCCAATAACAGTGCCTAAGGGGCTTGAAATATATCTAGAATATCCCCAAAATAATATCGGAGGGAAATTTTCACCTTGCATAATGAGTCTAGACATAAGACTGAGGTCAAAATTAATCAAAAAATATAATTTTCTTTATGAAAAATATTCTTGGCGAAGTTTTTGTTTTTGTTTTTGCTGTTCAAGGAATCACACGACGCAGGAAAAGAACTGAGATCTACAGAATAATTCATAATCAAGACATTGACTTATTTGCCAAAACATCATCACGTACTAATGACCAACCATAAGCAATGAATTTATTTAAACAAATAAAAAGCGAGAAAAAAATTAAYGGGAAAATGGAGATAAAATAAAACGCTTGAAGGAAGGAAACGAAGAAAAAAAAAATGAAGAGAAGAAAACTGACCTGGAAATAAGTGGAAATAAAGTCATACAAGAAACGTCAAACGTTAGCAACTGGTGGTGATAAAGATATCTTTTCAATTAAGGAATTGCAAGTATATTACGAATAAAAAAAGCCTGTCGGAAAAGATTAGAGTTAATATAGCAAACAATATAGGACAAATGGAACTGAGAGTCCGCAAAGAAAATATAGAGCGCGAACAATGGAAAACCTGTATGCACCGGTAATCGTATGATATAAAAGTAGATAAAGACAAGCGGAATAGTGAAGAATAAAAGACAAATCGGAATACACTATAAACATTTTCGTAGTGTTTGTCCCACGTAACATACGTTTCGATTCAAAGACTATTTGCTTTTCTTTCCTGTATGTTTTTCTTTCTTTCTTGAGCGTTTCCCAGTTAAATTCGAAGCGAGGGAAGCTCTTTTTCTAGAAGTGCCCACCCTTATCAAAAAGTGAAATAGTACGTTAAGTCATACTTTTGATAAAAKAAATACCAAGTCAATCTGGAAATTCAAACCTTCCTAGTTACAGAATCAAGAGTATGATTCGAAAAGTTTCCAATACGTTCTTGTTGCCGTGTTATAAGTTACAGAGCGAACCGTGAAAACAATGGCTAGAAAAGGAAGTATCGGCTATCGCATGTTCGGATCTTTCGACATAAATCGATGATGTTACGATACCCACATATTTCCCATCACTGGACGTGATAATACTCTCGATCTATAATACATTATATTAACTCCCATATGAAGGGCGGGATTTCGTGAAATAAGTACTGTATTTAAAGTACGCCTACAAGAAGTGAAGGTACAAGGACTTACCAAGCTTAGCCTAAATGATCCTGATAAAGATTGAAATGAGATTAGAGACGAGCTTATCGCCCACTTAAGGACCGARTGACTGTTTACACAAGAATGTTTGTTTTTTGGGAATCGCCCTAATGCCCTGTAAGTCCATCTATACCTTTTATAGGTTACAGTCGTCACAGAGTTGACTTCRACAATTGGAATAAGAAATTGGGGCAAATATACGGGGGGAGGGTGGGGAAATGTTTTGAACCCTACTATACACATTATATTCTTAACTAAAACAAGTAAAACTTCAGAAGAATGGGGAATAAATAGGAATATTATAAAAAGGAAATGTTAATAAGAAAAAAGGAATGAGACTATGAAAACAGTTATTTTTGCAGTTGCATTGTTGTATTGTATTGTTATGAACAGATGATGGCTTTTAGCTTCTTCTATCAATTATCAGCGATCAGAGAGATTAACTGCGACGAAAGAAATAAATTAAAAGGGAAGATCTATCAACAAAGAGGGCGTTGTTTACCCAAAATAAGTTGGTCTTACGAAAAGGTGTCATATGTTTACCTATCATCTGTCAATATCGGAACCAACTATGAATAAACAACCATTTCGAAATAAGAATGAGTCTTATTACATTTCKTTCACGCTGTGCTAGACTTAAAATATTATAATTTATGTCCTAACTATCATACAAAATGATGCTGCAAGAATTAATAACACTGCTTGGAGACATGAGCTCCATGTTTGTTTCAATATTATATAAATATAAATAATGATAATAATATAAGAGGAAATTTATATAGGGCTGTTTCATCTGGGGATTGCAACAGCACTTTACAAAATTATGATAAAACTATTAAATTAAAAGTACAAAATGACAAAACAGTTTTAATTTAAAATACATACTTAGATCTACACATACTTGTATCTACAACAACAACAACAACAACAACACAACACAAGCAACACAACACAAGCAACACAACACAAGCAACACAACACAAGCAACACAACACAAGCAACACAACACAAGCAACACAACACAAGCAACACAAGTTGCATGGAGCATTGCAGTGTGTAACCTACAGCGCAATTTGAAAATAATGTTGCGAGAAAAGTTTCAGCAATTGTCTGCGTCACCGTTGTACCGTGTAAATACTCTTGTAACTTGTGTCGCAGCGCTATTGCGAGAAGACAAGTTTGCAGAGAAAATTGCTCCGTGTAATCGCGCCTTAATGTTTGCTACTCTAGAACATTCTAGAACAACAGTCCGAACGTCTAAAAATTCTGGAACATTTTGGCTTCTTTGAAAACTTGCTTCAGTGTTAAGATTAGAATACTATTTGTGTGAGTTACTAAGGTTGATAGCAATTATATTCCAGATGCATCATGATTATTTTCGGTCCGGTGCAGGAAAAAACATACCATTTTTAAAATCCTGAACACACTCAGTAATAATTGTACTAGAATACGTGTTCTACGCACTCCGCTATAGGGCTAAATTGCACTTTACAATCAATAGTTACAAAGGTTACATTTGAACATCTAAAAATGCCAGTAAAACTGTCTTGAGTCAAGGGATTTTTTCAGAGTTATTCGATTTTCCTCCTCTAGTTCCGAAAACCCTAACACAGATGTTATACAAGCTATGMTATATCAGCCAGAGGTTGATTCAYGGTTCAACGACTAAAAACTATGAAACTAAAATTGACTCATCAACCTTTAAAAATAATTTCATATTTTCCTTAGCTTTCGACCGACACGGTCATCCTTAGAGGAACTAAAATGCGTTACAATATTAACAAAAACTACGCTATCAAACGTTGCACCTACAAAAACCTGTACGACTAAAAACTAGTTTAACAAATAGAAGTCAATCATATGTTCCGAAATCCTTGAAATACTGTTTTTTATCTTCGTTTTTTCGTTTCGTTGTTTCATTTTGCTTCGTTTCTTTTTTACTTTCCTTTCCTTTTTCGTTTTTCAACATTTCAAACATTTTCAAGAATCATGACAATACACTATTACTTTTCCGCCGTCTGTGTGATGTGGAAAGCCGACTTCCTACGCAGCGTAAAACCTTTTTTTTGAATGTTTATATCCATACACAACTGAGAAGAAAGCTGATGAAGTCAATCTATTTCTAGACCTTTATGATCCCTGAGACAAATAACACAAAAATACCCCAGAAAACCACTAGTGAGATAAGAATTATTGCACTTGAAAATAAGAAAACTATTCAACAAACAACGCAGTGTACTTGTGAGTTTTGACAYATCCTTACTTCTCATACCAAGCGGTGCAGTTCAGCTTCACATCAACTCCTCTGGACTATCAAACAACTTCAAATTTACTTGTCAAGAATAAAAAGCTTTCGATTCGTGTAAAGTATTAACACAAGTGCAAACATCAATCCAGAGGCGTTTCTTAAAATACGTCATTAGTCATTCTCAGATATTTTAATTGCATTTTTCGTTTACAARAGCATGGTGTTATTCGCGAAAGTAAGAAAAAATTAAGATAATCGATATTTCGAGATCATGAGCCAAGACTAGACAACTGTGGACTATTCTAGAAAGAGAAAATGCCTATTTTGACGAAACAGCAGTGAGCATATTGAGACGGTGTTAAAAGAATAAATTGCGTATTTTTAATCTTATTAGTTTCTATGGTTTCTTTAATAATGTCAAGAGTAAAAATCGTTTCTCACGATATTAACAAAAGACTCGTCAATTTTTACTTCAAATTTATAACATTTYCATCTGCATTTAATAGTTCATTTGTAATATTAAATCGTTCAACATATTGAGTAGCGAATAATCTTTTATTGTTGGGAGCGATCGGAAGTAGTCATAGGCTGATATTGGGACTCGTTATCAAATATCGAGAGCCGGTGCTAGCCATTGTATTTACCCAAAAATTTAGCTCTTCTACCGATTTTCATCGTCTCAAATTTATCAGTTCCACTTATTCGTTTTTTCATTAATAATTACTGAATATTTTTTTATGAGACGAAGATTAAAGTCACCAAACTATTACATACCAGTTGTCGTCTTCTAACAAAATTTCCACCTGTCTTTCGTTTTTAATTGATTTTTTTATCCGCTTYGTCTTTCAAATTTATCCTTAAAAGAAGCAATGTTATAGTATTAGATCTTTGCTATGGCTGCACGGTCCATATTGATGCTGTAATAGAGTAAGGGTGAACCTATTCACATRAATATAATCAAGGTACCTCTTATGAAGTCGCGGGCTTGGTATCGTAAAGAGAAAAACTTTAGCCCCAAGTAATCCCTCAGTAGATTAGCAAGCTCACCTAAAACATAAAAAAGCATTAGAAATCAAATAGAAAATGCACAAGGAAACAAGTCAGATTGGATGGCTGAAATATGGAAACATTACCAAGATGTTTATAAATGTTTCAGCAAGCAAAACGGGAAAGGCATACTTTTTGAAAGTTGAAAAAAAAAAAAAAAAGAGCACTCACTGAGATCCGTGTACTGTACGTTTAAGTGAAGTAGGATTCGTTGTTGGACGAGTGTAAGTAAAAGCAACACATATTCGGCTACGTGATGATAGTCAAGTGAAGAACAGGGTGCATTCGCACAAGCCACGTCAAATAAATATAGCAATAAAATAACAATATGGATTCACCAAGATCGTTACGTAGTAACAGTGTGGCAGTAATATCAAGTGAGTGTTAGTGAGTATAGCGAGACGGCTTTTAATGGTTTTTCTTTTGAAATCTTGAAACTCATTTTAACAAAGGTTTAGTAATTGTTCATCTTACTTGAGTTAGCGGTTTGGGTGAAGTAATAACGGAAACAATCGGCCCAATGAGTGTGACTATTGTGATTTATATGTATGAGTGAAGAAGTACTTATCAAGTGATGAGTATTTAGAGGAGCGCAATATTTCACTAGTTTGGGATTTTCTATTGTTCTAGGGTGAGGATTCATGCTGGTTTTGTCAAATTGTAAATTCCGCTTAAAAATATAATCTATAGGGCTAACACTCAACATTTGATTAAGTGTGATGTCAATAACGTCAATGAAATATGGCATAAACACAAGTGGACAGACTGAATGCTGAGCAAATGGATGGATGGATGGACGGACGGACGGACGGA